ACACCCCCAACTCCTACCACTACTCAGACCCCAGCACCTCCATCCCCCACCACCACAGTGACCACAACCCCAACACCTACCACTACTCAGACCCCAACACCTCCCTCCACCACCACCACAGTGACCACAACCCCAGTACCTACCACTACAGAGACCTCTACTCCATCATCTACCACTTCTCAGACCCCAACATATACCACCACCACAGTGACCACAACCCCAGCATCTACACCCACCACCACAGTGACTACAACCCAAACATCTACTGTCACAGAGCCCTCCACTCCAACATCTACCACTACTCAGACCCCAACACCCACTACCACAGTGACCACGACCCCAGTACCTACCACTACAGAGACCTCTACTCCAACATCTACCATTTCTCAGACCCCAACATATACCACCACCACCACAGTGACCCCAACCCCAACACCCACCACCACAGAGACCTCAGCATCTACTAGTACGGAGACCCCAGCCCCTACCTCTACTATCAGGTCTACCACCATGACAGGTACTACAGCCCCAGTATCCACTACTGTAACCACAGAGGCTCCAAGTCCGACCTCTGCCATCACTGAGATCCCAACTCCCATATCTATCACTACCCAAACCCCGACATCGACGCCCACCACCACAACCACCGAGACCCTTACCCCTACAAACACAGTACCTCACACAACATCAACGTCTTCCAAACCTCCAACTGAGCTCTCCACCTCTGTGACCTCCCCATCCACCTCCCCTCCCGTGGAGTCCACCACCCTTCTCAGCACCCCCATAACCACTGTGCCAACATCTAGCACAGTGTCGACACCTGGAACAACATCACCACTCATCACTACAACAGGGGGCAGCACGTCCTCTTCATCTCCGGGACCTACACCAGGACCTACTACCTTCCCCACAGGTAAGCCCCAGGCATGTGAGGCTCCTCCTATTCCTCCTTTTTTAGGAGAACTGCTCTTCTGTCAAGGGAGCTCTGTGGTGTCAAGCTGAACCTTGGGGTTAGCACTTCGTGCCTTATGACGCTGCTCTCCCAAGTGAGGCCAGTCCTCTGGGAGGTTTGAAGCAGGCTGAATGGGCCTCCTCTGCCTGCTGAGCCAGAGCCAGTGTGCACAGTGAGTGGGAAGGGAGTGAAGGCCAGCACCTTCCTGCAGATGGACTTTACTCAGGCGTAGCCGCCTCTGGCGTGCGTGCCTCAGCCCGTCACTGATGGGGCTCCTTGCGTGAAGCTCTTCCAGGGGAGTCTTGGACTGCATGGGACCAGGGCTAGGTGCAAGGCAGAGGGTCCCTCCTGTGTCCCTCTGTGTGTGGCATGAGAGGCCATGGAATGTAGTCAGTCTAGCATGGTCAGCTGTCCATTGTCCATTGGGCACTCACATAGTGTGCATGGTGACTTTTAGTTCAGTGGAATGGATCAAGGCTTGATGCTCATCCGTCGCTTTTTGAGAAAGCTGTTAGCTCTCTGTGGTGGGGCCTGAAGGTTGGACTGCAGCATCTGCGGTGAATGATGCCATCTGCCCACACTGTAACTCTGTTCTTCCAGGCGTGCCCACTTCCCCAAAGACCACAACAGGACCGACCAGATCTACAACTATACCCCCTACCGTGCCAACATCCACCACAGAAACCTCCACCCAGACAAGGCTGTCTTCAACTACACTGATTACTCCAATGACCACCAGGACCTCACCCTGGATATACACATCTTCTCCAATCCTTTCTCCATATGTTAGCACCCAGATTACCTGCTGTGTTGTGAATGAGACGTACTATGGCCCAGGTATCCATGGTGTTCATGTCTAATGCTCGGGCAGCTCAAGCTGGTCTCTGCTTTTCCCAGTGGGTTAGGAACCAGGGTCATGTCCCAATGTAGAGCTTGCTCAGGAGGCTAGAGGCTGGGCAGGGGTAGGTTATCTCCATGGCCAGTTCCGCCTTACTGGAATCATGCACCGGGAATCAAGGTTTGGAGAGCAGGTAGGGGTGGGCCTTTGTGCATTTTCTGTTGTAACAAAATACTTGAGGCCAGCTGATCTATGAAGAATAGAGGTTGAGTCTGCTGACAGTTCTGGAGGCTAAAAGTATGGAACATGACATTGGTACTCAGTGAGGACCTCATTCTGCATCACAACATAGTGCAGGCATCATATGGGGAGACTGAGCAAGTGTGAGCTCTGTTCACACTTCCTCTTCCCATAATGTCACTAATGCCATGTTGGGGGCCCTGCCCTCATAACCTCATCTAACCCTAATCTTCCCAAAGGCCCCTTCTCCTAATACAACTAACACAAGAACTCTAAGGACATGGGGGTCCTATAGCAGTGAGTCCCCTCCTGTGGCTTTCATGGGGACCTGCTAGCATATTCTTGTAGCCAACCCTGCCTCTGGATGGTGTAAGAATGGGGTCCTTCTCTTTCCTTGTAGGTGAACTGGTCTACAACAAAACCTACGGGGACATCTGCTACTATGTGAACTGCTCCATAGACTGCAAATTCCAGTACTTCAACTGGTCCTGCCCAACCACAACTCCTACACCCTCCACACCAACACCCTCCCCGACAACCACATCCTCCCCACTACCTACTACGTCCCCAAAGCTCACACCCTCCACGCCAACATCCACGTCACCCAAGTCTACGGCCAGCACATCAGTCACCACTAAGCCCCCTGCGTGCCTTGACTTTGATCCTCCAAGACAGGTCAGTGGTCAGTGCGTGGCTCTGTCTCCCTGACACAGAGCAGGTCCATGTCCAGGCGTCCAGGGTCTAAGTGACACCCTTCCTGGCTGTCCAACTCACACCCTGCACCTTCTCCAGTGGGACTGATGTGTCCCACAGTCTCTTTGGTGCGGGGTCTGCTGACCCTCTGTCTTCTTACCATGCCCTGCCTTGCCGTGGCCTGATCACAGCTGCTGATAGGTCCACGAAGTTGCCCCTAGTTTCAACCCCGCGTGTGTCCCACTGGCCCACGCAGACTGGAGAAGCTGTGCTGGGTTGCCCATTGACTGTTCCGTATCCTCCATCCTGCAGGAGAATGAGACCTGGTGGCTGT